ATACTTACTCTATGGTTCTCAAATTTTACTAAGAAATTCTATAATTTAATGTTTAAATACATTCGATTGTCCTCACTTGTGTTCTCGTTTACTACATTATAAGTTGAAAAAAAATTAAAATAATCAAATCCATTCAAACGATAAACAGAATGCTAGTTTATGGTAAAAGACTATTGGCAGAGAGTTAGCCAATCACGAATAATAGATCAATATAAATTTTTGACTGATAAGAAACAATGAAATCCTAGTCATGGCAACCATACTGTATAAAAGAATTTTTAATTAGCTTGTTAGTAAAAATATGTAGTGAGTTTGAATGACGTAACTTTTAATGTACATAAATGAGTTCATGAAAACAGCCATGTGGGAGTTGTATTTAAAGTAACGTTGATAAAAACAAGATGTATAAACAATAATTCATTGGTTTACTCCAGGAAAACTGTCTGTTTTCCTCTGCTAACAAGCCGCTTAAAATTCTGAATAGAAATGTTTTGATTGTCTTGCCTAATGATTGTTTAATGAACATAGGAGTTTGTTATAAACTGGAACTTCCTGAAGATAGGATCTATGTAACAAGTTGTAATAAATGTTAAGTCTACTGAATTTAGACAGCGTATATTTGTCCTAAAGATATCATGATTTTAAAAAAACCTGTAGCTTCTAGATTCAATTTTGAGTAGGATTATATGTGGACTTTACTATATAGTCAAAAACTAATAGGAAAGAAACATTTAGACATCTGTTGTTTTAAGTGGCTATCCACGAGAGCTAATTTCAAAACATTAATATTTCCTAATGTCAATCATTCCTCAATACAATATAATCAACATTTCTTTCCACCACTGATCACCTCTTCTCATCTCCGATTTGACACATTCCATTTATAACAGATTTCATGAGGAAATCTATCTTGAAACCAGTCTCTGAACGATTAATCTTTGTAGTTAACATCAGGTAGTTTTAAAAAGTTCCCACGTAGAACTAAAAGTTAACCAAAATACGAACGTATTGGATGATGTTTTTGTTTTAATTCAATTCAAAACCTTAAGGAAAATATGATCATGGAGAAAATTGAGTTCTTCAATCTTCAACTAGAACAATATTAAGACGCAAAACTTCTTAACTCAGTAGTGGTTGTTTAAGGTAAATAAGTTAATTGTTTTCAAGGGAAATAAGTAAAGTTAAATTGAGTACTGACAATTTGAACGATTTCATTAAAACATCGTCTTGATCGAAGTCAAAACTATTCTCATAAGAATTAAAATTTGAATAATGATAACATTACCAAATTTGTTTTTAAATGCTTGAAAACAATATTTATTTTAAGTTACTACCTTTTAAAGTTAAGTAATGAACACTAAATGAAACAATTAGACATTTTATTAAAGGTTAATATATGTGTTGGGGTATTCAGGAAAATATCCCAAAAATTATGTCATTAAGTCTAATGCTATTCTTGAACTTGAGATGATATCATTTTCCTATTGGTCAATATTTCTTTCACGCATCATTTTCCTACTGGTCACTACTTATTTCACGTGTCAAATGTTGTGGTGCGATCTGCTTGATTGATATATAAACAGAGTATGTTTGAAATACATGATTCATATCTCAGAGTCTGAGACTTGCGTTCTGGACTCGACTGGCTTGGTTGGACAGGGAATCAGGACTAATCAGGACTCTAAGTTGTTCTCACGCGTCTTTGGTCCGATCGATAATTCGCTGCCGGCTAATCTGCAGTCACAAGTTATAACAATATGAGACTTACATAATCTAAAATTTATTACGGTAGAACAAAAAAAAGAACTGACTAATTCGTACTAGGTGCTCTCAATGTCTAAAAATGATATTTTCTTTCTAATTTATAGTCTTATAAAAAGCTTAAAAATCAGTAATATGTATGGTAAGAAGGAAAGTTTTAATTTTCCAGACAAATAAACATAATTCTTTTTTCTACAAGTTTTAAGCTTTATGTATCCATTTCCTACTCAGTATTTTCTTTATAATAAATAAAAGATTTTTAAAAAAATAAGCATATAAAGCATTCACATCTAGTAATAAGTACCTAAAATCTAGAAGAGACTTGAAATAACGCATTTTAAATAAATTATTAAATGTTCACTTGGTGTTGTTTTACTTATATCTTCTCCATTGTTATTTAAGACTGCAATTAATCAATCTCTTGTTGGCATATGTGCATCCTTCTGGGGATTGCCTCGATATTGCCTGAAGTTACAAGCATTATAAGCAAAGATGGATAGTGGCTAGCGGTGGAATCAAGGACGCGAGTTTCGTCCTTGAGAAGATAAAAGTAAACAACACCAAGTGAATATAACTTCACCCCATTGCATAAGATGGCTATCTGGACTCAGTAGCTTATAAATTATTAAGTGGTTAATAATAAATGCTACGATTTATTTATTGATAATAATAAAAATCTGTCGGTCTATTTATGGAATTAAGCAAAGAAATGTAAAATGTTACAAAATAATTAATCTAGGTTGAAATAATTATAATTAGTAGTTTGGAAAGTATAGATTAAAACTTATGTTTGTTATTGTTCATCACAATAATAGGATTAATGGGTATGTCCCATGCAATAACAAATCATAAAGTTGATTAATTAGTCAGTTCGTGGTACGTGCAATTGATGTAGTATGTATCATCAAACAAAAGCGGAATGCCTGGAGGCCGAAGGCTGAGAAGTTTGATGAGAAGAGAATGATAACAGAGAGTGATTGATATGGAAATGAAGGAACAATGAGGTTTGAGACAAGTGATGGATATTTTGGAAATGAAGTATTTACTGTATGGTTCTCAGACTTTGCTAAGAGACTCTGTAATTTTGTGTTCAAGCACACTTGGTTGTCCCTGTCTGTGTTCTCGTTCACTACGAGTTGATTACATGAGGACTCAGATACATCTAAGTGTTGATTATCTTTGAAATTTGATTTTTACTACTACAAGTCTTGACATATATGTTGTTGACGAGGAGCGTTATTATTATTATTAACAAAGACTTATATTATTTTTGTCCTTACAACTAACTAATACTGTTAGTTTTAATTTATGTGATACAACTCTGTAATCAAGTCTAGGAGTTTGTATTCGCTCGTAGATATCACTTTCAATGAGGAGCCTAATGATATTACATTGTTTCATAAACTAAACTAGATGAAGTCGAATTAGGATAAATAAATGTCAGATTCTTTCATTACTAAGCCATCAATCCAGTGTTTAATTTTGTTGTTATAAAGATTATCGTGATATATAAAATATATTTTTTAGCACTTTATACTTAATAAAATAAAACAATAATGAAATTTATTCATGTCAAAATATTACAAATGAAATAATAGCTGAGAGTAATAAGATGAAAAGTGTTTTGTTATGACAAGTCAACATCCATTGCCGCTTGTAGGATACTTTAGAAATTACAAATAGAGCTTGGATTTTATGGTAGACTTTAGTTCTATGTTAGGTTATAGATTTGATACATAGAACAAAAACTAGTGTTATTAATGGAACCGTATTTAAGATATAAACTATTATCAGTTAAATTTCAATCGCTGAGAATATTTCAAATATAATTTTCACATATAATGACTTTTCTATACTCGGCGCTCAATTACTGTCAAAATATTCGTTCTAATCTTGAAGAATATTCGTATATATTATCAGAAAGGGTTTTTGGAGATTTTAGAAATTTCACAGATCGAAATCATGAATCAATTGAAGCTAGACCACCATGGAAAACCTGGAAGCACTGGACGGCCGTTTCGTCATAGTATGGGACTCCGCAGCAGTGCGCATCCACGATTCCGCACCCCGCGAGATTTGAACCCAGAACCTATCAGTCTCGCGCCAAGCGATACCAGGTTTTCCACAGTGGTCTAGCTTCAATTGACTCATGATTTCAATCTATGAAATATAAACTATTGTTTCTAATAATAATAATAATAATAATAATAATAATAATAATAATAATAATAATAATAATAATTAAACAACTTAAACACTTGACTAATATAATAATAATAAAGAACCCAGCTTTTAAACACCACCAAATGATTAAAAATATTTCGCTGTTGGTTTTAATTCATAAAACAATAATTGGCATGAAGTTTATAAAAAATAGGAAAATAAAAATAAGTATATAATGTAAAACACACTCAAACAAACATTCATCAATAAACAGATATAAGATATGATTTGAGATAAATGTTTTTTATCTGAGTTTCTTTACTTCATATTACAAATTAACACTTCAAATAGTAAATCAGATCAAATAATGATATGAAACTTAGTAGTGACTGAAGTGTAGGAAATATCAATACATTTAGTAAACGAGTCCCGACTACGACGAAACGCACATTCTGTATTCCATTGCTAGCCACTATCTAACCCTATTAATATACTGGCAAATATCTGAATATACAGACGGTTCCCTCTCAAGATACATAAATCCTCAAGCTGATTGATAAACTACAGTATTTAATATCAACAAGAAGATACAAACACTTATAAATTGAAGTGCATTAAATATTATTCAAACGAATTTAATAAAATCGAGATATTAGAAATATAAAAACCAAAACACAAATAAACAGACCACATGATGATAAATACGTTTTTATTGCAGCAATCATTTGCGACTATAAACTGAACTATGCACTGAGCCTTAAATAAATTTATCGATCAAACAAAGTAATGAATTGTATTTAATATCTTACATAAAACGGTTATTGATATTTATTTTCAGAACATATGTACAAACATCAGTTTCTAATGATCAACTCATGTCTTAAATGTCATAATGAAATATAATATGCTAACGTATAAATAATAAAATATTCAATTTTTAATACACCAATTGAGAGAAACTTCTAGATAAAAAGCAATACGAATTCAGTATGCAAATTCCCTTCGATCTTTAATTAATAATAATTCTCTTTTTTTCGAAATAATAAACATTTACATTTTAAAAAGCATTTACTCACTTTCAAATCTCGATGTACAACTCCTTGACTATGCATATATTCAGTAGCTAACAAAACTTGTCGAATAAGGGCACTTGCATCACGTTCAGTATAACTACCTTTCTGAACAATACGATCGAATAATTCCCCTCCAGTAACCCTAAATTTGACAGAAAAAAAGGAAATAAAGTCTTGTAAATGAATATCAGAAGGAATAACCAGTTAATAAAACAAATTAACAGAGTTTTCTGATTTAGTTATTAGGGTATGAAAATCACTGTTCTTCTAAAATCATTATGGTATAAATTACATCGCCGTAAAGTAAAATTTTAATTAATTTGATCATACTTATTAGTTGCTAACAATCTGTTAAATATCTGACCCAATACTATCATAATTCATTAGTTTATAAAACATTATATTGTTGTAAATGGTTTTGGAATGAAATCTTAGTAATGAAACTTTCAGTGTTCTATTCTTCGAGTTTTGTCTAAAATACTGAACTTTTAGGTTGACTAATGTTCATTTAATAAGAAGAAAATTCACCTTTGAATGGTATCGATTAACTTATTATGAGTTTTGAACCAGGAGAGTTTAAACTGGGTTAAATCGGAGAAACTGCCGTATTTTATGATCTTTTCTACCATCGGCTTATAGTGCTTTTCTGTAATTCTTCACCGCTTTTCTGTCCTTATTGTCTAGTGTTAACAATAATCCTTGTGTGTCTTTTCTATATTGTTCATACATTGGAGTGGATAAAGAGGACATTGTATATCACCCTCTTAGTTCATTGTCAATGAAACATTGCACATCTTGTCTTGCCATTTATTAGGTAAAAGATAAGTCAGTTGGCAAGAAATATTATGTTCAGTGAAGTGGAAAACAACGCGAAAAGACAACAAGTGTTTTATTGTTGTGTAATGGTAAAAAAACGTTACTAAAGAGATAATAATAATCATTTATTCAGTCAAGATTTATTAAAACATTTGCAAATACATAGCCAGACAATACTTCAAACTTTAGTCGACAAAACTACAATAAGCATAGCTGTTTTGATGGTCAAATGCTCCTACTTATTGTCAGATGACCTTTGTCGTTAATCATCACTATTTGTGACCCAATAAGTAATTCACATGCAGATTAATAGAACTAGATATTCACAGTCATGGCTGAAAAGTCTACTTTATTAATCAACTTTAATACTTATTTTGACGATTTTGCTCTTGTTTACTTTGTATATATATATATATATATATATATATATATATATATATATATATATATATATATATATATATATATTGAAAAGAACAGATATCTTATATATTAACAACAAAAATATCCTTCATGACGGAAAGCAACTGAATTTAAAAAGCAGTAGAAGAATTAGGTATGTAAAGAAGTGCTTCTATAAAGGACAACGACTATCCATAAATTAAGTCCTACAAATACAATGTCACCATATCCCTTTATTTCGTTTATTCAAGATTGTAATTTGATGTGTTTGATACATTATGAATTTTATGATAAGTCGAATATAATCAATAAAGCATTCGTATCCCCTTTACTACACATTTCAAGTTTAAATGACTGTGAACAAAAAGGGAGTGATATAGAAGTATAATAAATAATTGCTCTGCGTTGTTCTTATTGGGCTGCTTGAAGCTTGCATTGCAGTTTAAGCTTACAATCAAATTAACGACACTGGGATTAGTTGATGATCACGTATTTGTGAACAGGACCATAACTACTTTTGGAAAACTTGACTTGCTTTCAACCACTCCCAAAGAAGTGCCAAACATGTTTTGTATTTCGGAAGTTTGCCCACAAATAGTAGGTTTTAGTTCTTTACCTAATGTTTGCTGACATTTATCAGTCCATTTTCATGGACTGAGGGTAAGCTAGTATGAGAAAGTCCTTCATGTATGATATTTTACAGAAAATAAAAATTTTGAATATATAGATGTATCGATGAAGTACTACTAAATAAAGCCATTTCACTGATACTTCCTAATCACAGATTACGATTATCTTGAAAACCCTAAACACAACGTTTACATCCGTCCTCCCAACATGGCTCATTTCAGTAGTTGCTGATATTATAGACATATACAATTATCTCTGTCTACTCAATCTAAACTATTTTCCAATCCAAGTTCGCATTGGCTAGTATCGCATATCTGAGTTGGCAAAAGTGAATTTGATTAGACTATTCAAATAAAACTTCATTTATTTTCTGGAGAGTCTGTATTTAGTTATTACTTTCGATAAAAATCATAACAACTTACAACGGTAGGGATAGTGCTTAAAAAAACCTGCCGTGAAGAGATGATAAAACAAGGACAAAGTTGACACATACAAGAATAAAGCTGACAAACTCATTAAAAGTGCTAACTAAAATAACGTTCATTTGGTAGCAATTTTTGGGGCAATCTTAAGTCACCTAAGGAGCTATTGAGAGCCAGAGTATAAAATATGTTCTGTCTCAGTTTGACACTTAATGGCGCACATTCTCATAAGGCAAGGTATCTTAAGGCCACTAAGCTAGATGTAAATTTGAAATCTGTAGTGTATATATTTTTGTACTGAAATTATCAAAGCACATTAGCGTGTGCCACTGATGTTTTGTATAAATACACTAGTGGTTTGTGGATAGCTCGCCATACGATACATAAAACACAGGATAGACAATTTGATCAGTTGCATTAATATTACCACAGTGGGTTTTTACGTACCTTTTCTCATCAAATGGGTGTAAATTACTTATTTTTTCACTCAAAACCTGTCGAATACCCGTTCTTACCGACGGCTATAGCCTAAATCATTTTGGATAACCCGCATCACATATCAGTAAATCAGAGTGAAAACTAAATACCCTTATTTACGTGAATGAAGGCCGAGATGAAGATCTACACCCATTTCTTGTTGTTTACCTGGTTAATTTCTGTACAAAGGCTAATAATAAAATGCGGACTCCCACACGGAAATAAGTTTTGAAAAGCTTTCAATCAATAACCTGATGATTAAAAGCTAAAAGCACTAATGGTCTATTTAGAGGTAACCTGCATACATATGTCTTGTATTGATCGTCGTAATACAATAATCGTGAGTTTATAAAAAGTGTGAACACAAAGCTATTGAGAACAATGATTTGCTAAAACACCCTCTCGCCCTCGAATATTCTACAAGAGCAGTCACAATATCCTTTACTTGATAGTTTAAACCATCTGCTGATATTTGTACAATAGTCAGGTTAATTATAATGGTGTTACGTCAAATTTCAATACGTATTTTTGTGTCAGCGGCTAGGAACGGTTCATGTTTGGTTGGACCGCAAAACCCGTGGCGAAAATGTAAGTATAGTTTTGCATGTAACTTATGTAAACATTCAATTTAAAGGCAAGGTAGATGCAATTAACGTTTTTTTTATTTACATATTGGGTAACATTTAATAATATATATTATTTAGCGAACTTTGATTTTTAAGAATAAAAATTTAACTCACAGTTCCATAACAAGGTAGTAACACTCCGCATCTTCTAAGACATCAAACAACTGAACTATATTTGGGTGTCTGAGTCTGGTTTGATAAAGAGGTTTTAACTCATCAACTAACCTTCTCAGCACTTCTATCTCATTGTTGAGAGACTCCTTGCGTGACTCAGCCTCCTTGATAGCACACTCGGAATTTTGAGACTTAGAAAGGTATTTTTTGCGAATACACTTTATCGCTACGAATGATCCAGGGTTTCGTTGATCCTCTGCAAGACGAACTTCTGAGAAGGCTCCCCTAGATGAATGGGTGCAATTGTATTACATGAAATCATTCATACGTTCCCAATATTTCTTTGAATTCATAGTGGTCAATCGACTGTAACGAAACCATCACACTGAACTACGTAGGGGACGGTAACAACTGAACAAAGTGCATTTCTGATAGCAAATTAAAATAATGTCAAGGTTGAATATAACTTTTTGAAGCATACAAACGAAGACGCTGTATGAGAAGGCACAACTCAAGTTTATGGTGTGTTTAATACAAAGATAAACTTACGGAGTTACTTTTTGTGTTTTAGGAGTCGAATCACATACCGATAGATCGAAAGTTAGACTGATAATGCATATCAGTTTTCAGTGGTTAGGATCGGAAATCAAACAGCCTATATTAGTCTTTTTAACTGTTAGTATTGTAAAGATTCAGTTTCACTTTAAATTTATCAGCGAAAGGCGCCAATATAACATGTTTCGGAAGAGAATTCGGCAAGACGAGGATCTGTGGACGAACCGATCAGATTTGGGGCTTCGTAGCGAAATTCATTCATCCGTTTGGACAACTAGAGTTTTGAAACTTTGGCTGATGTCAGTTCGTGATGAAAACGATATATCTAATTCCTAAACCTAACCACCAATCGTAGATCATAGTTGTTACTCTTCAAACTGCTTCATAATCCTCATTTAGCTCTAGTAAGTAGATAGACATTGTTAAAGTCACAATAGTGTCAATCGAAGGTCGTCCCTAAATTATAATCTCACAGAGAATTGCAGTAATCCAACACTTTATATAAGAAACAGAACCCCAGACGTTAACGATTTCATCTCGCTTTTTTAACTTTCTTAGAACATGCTCTTAGACGGTCACTCCTAGGTCGAAACACAAAATAGGACATATCAATGCCAAGACCATCTTTCAATATGCGCTAACTCAGTAGTAAATGACTCCGCAGCCCGCCTTAATTTAACAGAAATAGATTGATGCGCGGGACTTCATTTTTCACGGATATCCACGTTGATGAACCTCCGTCTAACCATACTAGCAGTCTTCTACCATTGAGTTTACTTATCCGGTCTATGATTCTATAATTTATTCTGAAATTTTCCAGTTTTTATCTAGGACTGAGTTGATAGGCCTTGTGAAAGGCTTTACTTAGATCTATGAAAGTTGCATCTTCCGGAATATTACTATTTTTCCCTGTATTTGAATTTTCTCTTGCAATGCGGTTCACCAAGCATTAGAGGATTTTCCTAAAACCATATTGTGCGCCGACTGAAAAATTATTCCTTTTCACAAAGTTTAGAATAGCCAGCCAAAAACCTCCTCCACTACTGTGGCAGCTTCACTGGTTGAACTCATGTGTCCAGAACTCCTAGCTAAGTCTCAACCCTTCTTTTTGTAAGCCAGACTAAAAATTGCATCTGTACAATCTTTTATCAGTTTGCATTGCCTCAATGACTTATCAAACAAAATTGCATGAGATTTAGCAATTACAACCGTCAGTGGACTCGTAAGCCTAAGATATCGTCAGAAGCACTGAACGTAAATCGTTTGGAGTGTTTAAGCAATCTTAAGACAGTTTCCGTCTCAATAACTACAGTATTCATCGACAAGCCACTTTATAATGGGTCGTTTGTCATCCACCATCGTCGGTAAAAAATACTTCACTAAAATAATTTGATACAGCTTCAGCCTTTGCGAAGTTATCCCTTGTCAATATCAAATAATTATTTGCACTGGGAGTGGCAGGATCTTTATGTGCGAGACTATTTCCACAATCTCTAATTTATTGTTTTTCATACGAACGACTATTCGTGCTTATTAACGCATTTTAAACATTCTCAGTCCTACAATAAACGAACCTTTGCTGTTCAGAGCCTCTAGGGATGAACATACTACATTACTTTTCCTAAATTCCAAGAAATTTCTAGACATGTTTTGTTATCCATGGTGAGCAGTGAATAAGTCGTCATGGCACTAGGCACAATGCTAACAGGAACGTAACTAAGCTACGTCTGCCCTTAAACATAAATCATGCTTCTTGAACTGATGAGCTGCTATTTAGTGTGTTCGCTTTCCGCACACTTGGTGGAGGTCTAGCTTGATCATATACTGTCACAAAGCTTAAGCATGAATGATAATACAGTATGATCCCTACTATTAGATAAGCAATATCTCCGATCGCATGGGTGATTACTAAATCCAGCAAAAAAAGATTCTTAGTTTAAACCAAGACATCTGGGTATGTGGACATGGTCTACTAAAGCATGATCCAATACAGCCATCATGAACCCACCATCGGGAGCGGTTTAAGCTGCGGTAGTTGACATCGCAATTAGTGACTTCACAATTCTCATAATCGTGAGACTCACAAACAAACGAACGGATGCTTATAATATTAATTAGGTGTGTAAAGACCCAACCTCCTTTTCCGTGCCTGTTGCTATCACTTCTCAAGTATTTGTATCCTGATAATTCTGGAGAAACCAGGCTTCTATCAAAACTACAATAATTGGCTTTAACTAGCTCACTAGTGCTTCTAGTTCATGGAATTTATTTCCAAAACTGTGGGCATTTGTACATGAGATCCTATGAGATGACAACATAACCACACAGGTCTTGGTAGTATTCAGTTACAAGACATAACTACCTTAAACTCACTAAGAGTAGGTTTTCTCAACCATATTCTCGACAGATATCTAATTCACATGGTGCGACCTTCCTTCTAATTCTGTCATCTAGAGACATTCCATGTCTTACCCAAATGTTGTTATTATCTTCACTTCCAGTACTAGCCAACCAATGATTTTCTTGTTCCTCAGACCCTATGGTTGGCTTCAAGAGTTTAAATAGTCAGGATTTGAAATTTTTTTCAGTCCTTCATGCGCATATTTTGGACCTTGAATAATCAACTTTAATTTATAATTTATTTTAAATAACAACTACAAGGCTACCTAGTAGTACTAATTTACCTAGACTTTTGTTGAAAACTTGAGTGACCATTGGTTTAAAGTAAACTGAATAGATGTTCCACAACTAATTACATGCATTACTTGGTTCAATGCAATCTGTAAACATATTTTAATAATCGTGAACATTTTGACCAGTGCTTAGTTGTGTTTTCAGCATAAGTGATTAACATTTTTGAGAGTGAATACCAATGCTGAAAATCCGAGGCCTAGTAACGACCCTGTTTTGTATTTAAGAGTTCACGTTGAACCGATCATGCACTCTCCATACATAAGAAGCGTAGAACAATATCATCGAAAATGCAATGAAATCGACTTTTAAAGCGAGAAGACAGAAACAAGTCACGTATTTATTTTACTTTGATATAAAACATTTGCGCCATTATTACAGAACACGCAGTAAAAGCCTGTCTTCCAAAACCCTCTTTTTCATGTTGCTCTGGTGATGGTTACAAAGCACCACTGGTTAGCCACTCTGAAGATACATGAGTTTCGATTTGACGTAAATGATCAAAATCATCAGTGTTCGTAAATTAATTTTGTTGACGCGTATTGGTCACTTGCCTTTCTCACCTATAACGGTTTCACGTTTTTATTCATATATTTATTTATATATCAAGACCCACTTGTTCAACTTTCATGGTTTTAACATATTCGGGCAACATTGCATTGACGCCAGAGTCGGAACAGTACAAAGAAACAGTTTGTCGATCACTCCCTAGAAATCGATATTTAGATTTATAACCTTTATGGTTAGGGACACTGCTCGATATTCTAAGTCCTTGAGATAACTATTCACAACTGTTTGCTCAAATATCTTAACTCTATTCCTTTATTCTTTCCCATCAAAAGGTGTTGAAAGATATTTAGCGTCCCGAGTTCCAGTATATGATAGTTGGGGAGAAGGATATATTTGATTGTAGGGAGATATTGGATATCGTGATCATTCTGAGCATGCAGTCAGCAGAAGTGAAGTGGTAAATAGATCCCTAAAATTACGGGTTCTGTAAGTCTTTGACAATGGTTCTGACCTATTTAATTTTACTGAAGACACCTGGTTGAAGGCACTTGTCGACGCATTCGCACCGGATCACGAGTGTGCATCTCTCGCAACCACTAGCCAGCTTAGATCAAACACTTCTCGACGAGAGGACAGCTTTACAAATGTATCTTCGAACCCCTTTATTTCTGACTTCTGATTTAACAAAATCGATATACTTTGTTTACAATGGTGTTACGTGTAGAGGTGTTGCCAGGCTCTGAATACCTGTAGTATCTTTAGAAGTGTCTTACTTCACTTAGTTTTATGATCCGTTGGCGACGAATGACGTAGTACCTCTCACTAAAAGTGTACAGTAATACAAGATTGTTAACTAACATATCGAATGCTCTTGAAGTTATTTGTTGTAGGGGTTGTTTATCAATACAGCAGAATTATTTTCTACTGCCTAAACATCTCGCGGCGACTTTAACAACTAAGGAACTTACTGTGGTGATGGACAGTGATGAAACCTTGTACCAATGCTCCTGAAGAAGCCCTAAAGGATGCATTATTTTGAAAATACTGTTGAATACTGAATGATATTTTAACTGCTCCTGTCGTCACTTAATAATACTTTGTAAATTTCCAGAAGAGTAAAATGGGAAATATGTGTTCCTTCAGCATATAACTATCTCTTACAAGTCAACTACATGACGCATAAGATCTAACGATTCCTTGTCTCGACAAATTGTGGTGAATATTGGACATTAAACAGGGAAGCTCGGGAACCAGTTTTACTGAAATAGGCTCTGACACTCCAGAGTATTCTCTTTCAGCTACAGTAGAATAAGAAGTGGTCTGAATAAGGCGTACAACATACTAAGAACCATAAGTCATTTTGATGTAAACACACTACCAGAACCTTGTGGCATCTCTCCACAAGGCACAACGTGAACGTAAATTGTACATTGAGGTGGTAATAATAATAATATATTTCTGTATGTGCAGGTACACACCGTTTTTACAGGCATGATCTATAAATTACAACATTTGTTGGTTCACAAAATGTTTCCCAACTTATCGAGAGCTTCTGGAATAATCATTCAATCGAGTTATGTCGTGTGAAACCTTTATTCCCTTAGCTCATGTCATGCCAGGTAGTT